CGCATGACGTCAGGGTTTCCCAAATATGGTCTTACTGACAGTGGAATCCCTGATTCCCTGATATAATATACATATATCTATATTTGTTTGGTTATAGAGACAACTCTCCTTATATTTTAAAGAAACTGAACAAGGATAAAAAAAACGTTACCTTCGATTTTCTCAAAACAGCATTTTTCGGGATTGTCCTCTTGTGCTTAAAAGCGGCGACCATATGCGAAATAATTCCAAATGGAGGGTTCAAGTGTACTTTTACCGAAAGCACATCTACACACCAATGAAACCAAATTTCTCCTATAGGTAGGACAATGCCCACTTTTGGTGTAGGTCAAGATTTCTGGAAACCCCGGAAATCTGGGTTAGCCCTCTTGTCCTTAAAAGTGACCATATATATGTATATTATATCAGGGATCTCCACTGTCAGTAAGACCATATTTGGGAAACTTTCACAACAAGCCTGTGTTTTATTCCATTATTGTACATTCCTTCTGGCTGCCTGCACGAATGTGCCTTATAGCCCAGGCTATCCTAATGAATGTCATGTTTGCACTATAGTGTGGTGAAAAATTCGTGGCGCAACTTATTCTCAAATGTCTCCTCAACTATCGAACATAAGTTCTCCAATTTTTGCACAATGACTTGTATCAATTTGTCTTAACAGATCAACATTTTTGTAAACACCTGCTAGCTGTATTCTAGAAAATTCCTTTATAAATGCTAGTAAAAGTCCCAAGGGGGTGGTTTCTGTCACTTGTGAGCTGTGACGTAGGCCATATGCGTAATCAAAATATGAGTGAGAGGCAGGAAATGCTGTGAACAATTCCATTTTACTTGGGACGGAGATTTCAAATATTTTATATACATTTAAAAAAAAGTTTTTAAAAAAATCTGGCCCCATTTGTTGTGGAGAAACATGATAAAGTTAAGACAAATTGATACAAATTGCTGTGCAAAGTATGAGTAACATTGATTCACCCGTTAAAGAGATAGAGGAAAAGTTGCGCCACGGATTTTTGACCGCACTATGACTGAGATAGTCTTGGCCTTAACATTTCCTGCCATGTACTTGAACGGCCTAAAGTGGCCAGCTGAGAACGTAATAAATTATTATGACCGCCCACTGACGCCTGAGTTGCTTCCATTTTATTACATATTTAATGTTGTGTTCGTGTCCCTGTTCGTGCGTGTGTTGGTGGTGGACTGTGCTGACTGGTGGTAGAGCTGGGCAATGAGTCGCTTTAGCAAAATCCGGATAGTATGTTAGTGCGACTCTTTTGACAAATAATATGATATGAACTGTTTCGGCAAATGGGTTAGAACCACTTCGACAAACGGGTTAGCATCACATCAACAAATGGGTGCACCCACTTCGACAAACGTGTCAGGAAAGAGAGTTAAGAGTCTGAATTCGGACAATGTTTCATTGAGGATTATCCGTTTATCCTTATAGATTATCCGGATTTTGCACACCTCTAACTGGTGGTAGTGGTAGAACCGGAGAGTTTGACAATAAAACCAAAGATTCTCTACTATCGTATACACGATCTTTGGTAAAACCCTCTCTGGCAGATCACACAAATATTTATATAGTATAGAATTCTGTGTGGTAGAATCAAAGATCGTGTTGTAGACAATCTTTGGCAGAATGAGGTTTGTGCTGTATAGGTTAAA